CTTCGGCGGGAAACGGGTTATATATTATCTGCAACCCTTCAAACACAGAACACGCCGAGATCCATACATAACCTATATGCGTACACTTCTCTTCGTGCCGTTCTCCTCTGGCCGGAGAGACCTCGGTGCGTGCATATCCAGAGTCCGAGTATTTTAGAATGACCGCCATGTCTACGCAGGGGATGAACGGAGTGGATAGTGACACTTGCTGGCGACACGCTGCCATCTTGTTCTTGTTTTGAGAATGCGATTAACTTTATTCGGTTAAGTATTCTTTGTTGTATGGATAAGCAATTAGATTTTCTTACTAGGAAAAGACACTTAGATGTTTGGTGTGATTCTTCGCATCATCAAAATGGCACTTGTAGGTAACAGTTAAGGAAACAAGTCTCTATTGCTTTGGTCGCAAAGAATTATTTCTTTTGGATACTTTTTCCAGCTAAAATTGTTTGAACTTACTAAATTAAATATGAAGATTAATTTATTAATACTACTTTACAACATGTTATACTTGTGCAGTTACTTCGAGGATTGATTGAATACTTGAAGATGATGAAAAATTTTATGTAAGTTATGTAAATGTGCCAGTTGACCTAGTGTATTATATACAAAATAGCGAGTTTTAAGTCCTGCTGATGGTAGTTGGTATTGGTTCTCACAGGGGACACTCAAAATCTTAGACTGCGATGCACGGATTTCATAGTCATCATTTTGTCACTGATAAGATCAATTTACATACAAATAATTACATCTTATCTATTTTTCCCTACTTTTCCCTACTAATAAAACGTTTTCTTGAACCAAACGTTAATCCTTTTTTACTTTCGATAATTTATTTTGATTCATTAACATCGGACCAATGGAAAAAATTAATTTCAAGAAAAAGACACTCGAGAGTCAAGGATTAAAGTAAGAAATATGACATTTCTCATAGAACCTGAAACATCAAAAACTTGACATACCAACTCTATTTCTGTGTGTGATTAAGTCGCGTGCGTCATGAAGGGTGTGACCAATATTCGGACCAATAAGACCCTCGTTTGTTTCAGATCCAGTCTTGTCGACCCCATGTACCGGGTGCTTTGTCATTTAAATGGCCGTGATAATGTGGCAAGTCTGAAATAACTTTGATGAAGGGATTAAGAGGAATATTTAGCGAGGATTATGGCAGTAACTCTTTGTACGACCCTTAACCTACAGTACCGGTCCGATTACTTTGATCTCCGAATCCTCCTGGTTACACGTTCCTTTACATTGCTTTCGACTGGTTACCAATTTGCAGTGACACCCCAACGTATACAATTCTGCTACCATTTTTTTTAATACAGACCCGCCCTGTGACCAATTGTATGCAAGATCTCTTGTTCATCTAAAACTTTAATAGAGTCGTTTCGAATCAGTCGAAGTCCTATTTATGATAAACTCTTTTTAAATCATGACTAAATTAGAACAATACTCTTGTTATAAAAAATGGAACTGTACGTTGCAAATGATGCGTGTAAAACTGATGCATATTAACCTTTTGCACTATGATTCCTTTTATAACTATTTTATTGTTCATAATTAATTCGAAAAAAATTCTTTTACAGCTAATGTAAAGTCAAGATTCGAAAACAAATTAGACAAAGTTAGGATCACGCCAACCACAGATTGATTTCATAGAAAACCTCTTGAACGTGGACGAAAAAGACGTACATAAGACACTCTCAAAGTAAACGTGAGAACCGAACCGTAGCGTTGCAAGTAAAAGTAAAAACAGCGATGTATCTGAAGGGACCATGCGCGATTCGAACAACAGATTTTCCGATGGCTGCACTCGTTCCCGTATTTACCAGTTGACTAACAAAGAGGTCACGCAGTGTTCACCCACACAGATATCACGGACGATCGGTACAACCGTTTTGTACCTGCGCTTTTGCCGCTCTTTGACTCTCCGTGCAGTCCTAATCTTCCTTATCCGATCAGCTCCCGATTTGATCAGCTGTTTCCGTGGTGTTGCCGATGCCGCGTCATGTTGCCAAACATTGTAATTCGATATAGAAGCGATCTTGATCTCTCGATCTACGCTACCACCCCAATGTAAATAGCCAAAGGGAGAATTCCCTGTGTATACAAGTTGTTGCACAGTGTATTTACCTGCCGCTTTCACCGATGGAGCTGATACTTCTCGAGATGCACAGAGGTCAGGTGGTAAGCATCGTGGGAGAGTCTTACGAAAAAACTGTTTCTTTCGATCTTAAAGATGCCTAGGGCCCGAACATTGTATCATCTCCTGCTACTCGAATACTTTTTCGCTTGAGAAATGTGTTCAACACCGTCGAAAAATATTTTTGAATTCTGACCAGATCGTTGAGAAATAATTTTAGAGATTGATTCAGAGACTTATCCAAAAAGAATAACAATTTGTATCTGGGTTATAGTTAGAGGTATAGGAGATAAAGCATATTTTTTAAAAAGAATAATGATTTAGGTAGGGTTTATATAAAATGACTTTATTTTTGAAGAGTGAGAGAACATTTTGTGGAAAATGGATTTGGAAAAATTGTTGGAATGATTCGTTCAGTTTGTAATTGTTGTGAGCACGGTTTTGTGATGAATGTTTTAAGTAGATTAAATCGCTCGAATAATTTAGGCAAAGGCTACAAGGGAGGGGAACGAGAAATTTCGCTCGCATTGTAATCACACCAACTGCATAAATAAGGCTGTGGAGGTGTCGCCGGATACTTTAAAAGCAGGCGTGTATTGCCATAGCTATTGGTTTATTGATTTATCCATCGGCGCGCACGTTCGCTTTTGAGTGGCCGATATGCCAGAGTAAAAAATGGTCCGTGTCGGTGTACACCGGTATCGATGAATACCCGTTTCCACGCATATTTGCGATGTTGCTCGGATCGTCATTGCATTTTATAATGGACGAACGCGTCGAAACATGCAGTCCAGTGAAAACCGTAGCCGAACGCTTTTATTCCATAATGGCGGAGTTGTTTTGAATTAGAGGAAAATGAAAACTAAATACTTTTTCTCTACATATCCTACCCATATTTTTCTTTATCTATATTTTACTTTACAAACTGCGAAATATTATTTTATTTAAGTTAAGTTTCACTTGAACTTTGTCCACATTTTAGTTACTGACTACATATAATTGTTATGTAATTTCTATTTATACTCTTATTTTGTGTTTACATCATTTTTAATTTTACTAGTTGCTATTTCATTTGGTTTTATAAATATGTTTTACTTATTAAAAGAAGTCGACAATAGAAATTACGTTTCCTATTTTAAGCAATTATTTCAAAATATTTCACTTCTATTTAGAACAGAAAAGAGAAAACACTAGCGAATACCCTACTATTTACTTATACGAAGCAATTGTATTCAATGGGAACAAATGGAATACATCTCAACATTCATAATTTTGTGAAATCAAAGAATAGTCTTGCAATGAAATAGCCACATTTACCCGAACTACTCTTTCCAAGGACATTGTCGCTAAAAACTGTCACAAAGGACGCAATACGAAACGAAGCTTAGATAGAATTACATAGAATATCTAATGGTAGCATTCTCCGGTATCAGGTAATAAAACGTGACGCAAACAGAGCCGGGAGTATCACAGACCAGGCATATTTAAATGCAAATACCATGGCCGCGGCGTGGTCCCAACATAGTTACTGTCGTACGCATGGCTAAGTCAAAGGTAATAGTGCCATTGTACATGGGGAGAGCAGAGCATTGTAGGGGCCCGTGTAAGTAGACAACCAGTAGTAGGTAAGCAAGCGTAGAAAGAGAAAGAGAGAGAGAGAAGGATAAAAGGAGGAAGGAGGGGGAAGGTTAAGGGAGAGATATACAAGGATCGAGATCACAGAACGTTTACTACATGGAACGCTTTTATTCCGTTCTCATTGCCGGGTAAATAACATCTGTACATTAGATCACTATAAAATCGGTCGCCATTGGTGAACGACAATAGGGCTTCCCCCTATTGAAACCTCATTGTAGAATATGATTCAAGAAAGGCTCGTCCGCCTATAATATGACGTTGCGTGCAACCCATGCGGTTTTACGGAGCACCGTGGAGCACTGGAGAGTCCCTGGATGGACGGATAGGCGGACATAAAAAAAGAAAACAAGAACAATAAAAACAGAGGAAAACAACAGGAGAAGAAGAAATAGAACGTGGAAAAGAAAGAAAGAAAAACAGAAGCGAAAACGTAGGAACCGCGGGAGCAATCGCGACGGAGTAAGCTAGGACAGGGAGGAGGAAAAGAGGGAGAAGGATAGACACTTGAAAGAGGAGAGAAACAAAAAGAAACGAGAGAACGAACGAAAGAAAGAAGGGACACGGTGGTTCTTCTCCCGTAGGGGACGAAGAAGGCGTGTGCACGGGGTTAAAAACAGTCCCGAGAGAGCGAAACAAAAGGTGGAGCGTAAAGAGAAACGACTGAGCATCGCTACGCATTGTTCAGGTCGCGGGTTCGGAACGGGTTTTTTTAAATAAAAGAGTAATGTGTTCGTCCATTTCGCCTCTGCCGCCGGGGCACGGATATACGAAAATACACACGGTCTGATACGCGCTGTGATATACCCTACCCCTTCGCCCCGTCTGCCTTCATATATACGCATAGTTTATCGAGGGTGAGTTGGTAGGTGGGTACGCGCGGTCGGGTATGGCCCCCTCTTAGCCCCGTGTGTCAGATATAAACTCTTAACATCTTGGCGGAACAGCGGGCTCAGCCAATCGGAGGGGCGCGCGGGCGTGGCCGCACCTAAGCGCGGCGCCGTGTATGGCCGAGGCCCCGGGGAGGTACACTGTGGCACAGTGTTTTATTTCGCGCAACTGTGGAGGGGTCGTTAGTTTCTGCCCTATCCCTCCCCGCCAAATA